TTGCACGAGCAGCAGGGACGCTGGGGAGGCACGTGCCCATCACACCTCTGTGATCCAGCCAGAGTGACAGGCAAGGGTCCTGTGTCTACCCGGGGAACAACTCACCCAAAGTCTTTACTTGTTTGAGGGAGGAGCATGGGATGGGGACCTAAGTGGAAGAAAGACCAAGTTGTTTGAAGTGAGCTGCTGCCATTGTACATTCTGACTCTGCCTTGCAATCTGTCTCACCGTCTCCTGTAGATGGTACCTGGAAAGGACACATGGGACGGACTGCAATCCAGTCTCACGCCCTCCCTAAATGCTTTCACAGCCAAGAAGGACTTAGCGCAGGCTGCTCTGCATTTCAGATGTGGTCTGTGCAGTTGCTAGGCAGCACGGCTCCCCGCTCCAGCGCAGAGCTGCCCTTCTACCAGTGGGCATCGTTGTGGGTTTGCTTAACTTTCCCTGAAGGGCACAACATCTAGGGCTCAAAGAGGCCCTGCTACCCTCTCAATCACACTGCGTATCACCTCACCAGTCCCTGTCATCATATGAAGAAGTCAGAGCAGCAGCATCCTACAGCATGTCAAAAGACTTGAGGAGATCTTCCCCCTCCATCACCAGGCTGTTCTGCATTGGTTGAATGACCACTGAGTTACCTGGGTGTAGGAGTAGTTATACCAGGCACCAGCGCTTGGCTTTCATCCAAGGAAGCTGGACATCTACCAGGTTGGATGCAGTTAGCTCAGGGCTAACAAAGGGGCAAGGAGCTGTTCTGATGATCTGAGAGAGGGAAAGACGGGACAGAGAATCCCAATGACCTGAGGCAAAGGTGGTGAGAAACACAGAATCAGCTTCTGCAAAATCATAAGGAACAGAATGCACATAATCACACAGTCAAATATAACCTGCAAATGCATGGAAATTTCCACTGGAATAATTTACTGACAGAAAACAGCATTCATGTATTGAATTATCTGTAGGAAACCTCTTATTTTGACCAAAAAAATCCATTTTTCTTCTGGAAAACCATTCCCAGTAAAAAAAAAACTTGGGCTTTGCCTGCCTGCACGTCATGATCCTTCACTGCAGTGCTCCCAAAAGGCTCTCAGCAGATGGAATATCCATCCTCAGAGACCTCCAGCTCCCTGGACCTGCTGCAAACCTGAACCTGAAAAGGAGTGCTCAGAAAGAGCAATCACTGCTGGGGAGCCTTCTTTCCAGCCAGTCTTTGTCTCAGAATATGCTGGCTCTTGGGCCTGAGCCACGCTGTAAACGATGCAGAGCAGCCTGAGGTGGGAGGAGAAGAAATGTCCTCAGGTCTCAGTACTGGCTGCTCCTGCCTTGACTTCCAGTGAGTGCTGGCTCTCCACTGAGATTCTGATATTTGCTTTTCTTCCCTTCAGTGGGAGAATTGCCCACGTCTTCACTGTCTTTGCTGATGTGGATTTGGTAAAGCTTTGGAGCTTTGTAACCCTGGAGACCTCTCCCTGTCAGTGCTGCTCAGGGGATGGCACACTCTGGGAGATGGGTTTTTGTCACCCTTCAGCCTCTCTGCACCCAGAGCCTGCACATCAGCCACCACACAGCCCATCATGCTTTCCAGCACACACTGCCTCGTCTCTGCATGACCCTGCAGCTGCTTGTCCTCCTCTCTGAGCACGCCTGCTAGGCGCATTGCCATTCCTGCTGTCAGCAAGTAGGACAAGATTCAGCCAGGAGGCCCACCTCAGGGCCTTCGGCACCACTGGAGAGGAGCAGAACCACACAGGCGAGGATACCCATAGTAACATGGTAAATCTTGCTGTTGGGTTGTGGCTGCCCTGCTTGGTGAGATATTGCTGACATCCAAGACTCCCAGTTTTGCTTCCTTTGATTCCAGGGCCTCTCTTCCAGGGACACCAGAGGCTGAGGTTGCACCAGCAATCCTTAGTCATGTTTGTTGCAAGATTGGGTGCTGTGGGCCTGTGCAGCACCTCCCCCAAGCAATATGTGGAGATGGCCCAACCATTTTGATAGGATGACTACAGGCACAGTGAAGGGGCCAGTTTCCATGGGAAGGATGCTTTCCCATCCAAACAAGGTCCTCGAAAAGGCTGTAAGTCCCCAGCAGCATCCAGGTGGTGCTAGCCTTCAGTGATAGTAGGAGTGCCAGCTTGTTGTGCCCTGTCAAGTGGAAAGTGAGATCTCTGTTGCAAACCCAACCTTTTTGGGCTAGGATAAACCTGAAAAGGGCAAAGAGAAAAAGAGGTCAACAACAAATGTGGCACTCTGAAACGTGTAACCCCTCCCAAGGCAAGTGTTCTTGAAGGCTCAATATTGTTTTTACAGTGATGAGCCCCAGAAATGAGCAAGAAGTCACACCATCACACCTCTAAAACCTACTTTGGGCTGAGACAGCCCACATGTCAGCAGAGCCTTTTTACCTGCACCTTGGTGCTTCCTGCCTCCCGCAGCCAGGGCCTCACGGCACGGCCTGAGCTCCTTGCTGCCCTGGAGCTCCCTGCTGCCCCAGCCTGCCCGGCCAGCGCTTGTGAGCGTGCCAGGCTGCTGGGAGATGCACGTTCGGCCTGGGCACAACTGTCGGAGTGCTGGGGAAGAGCCCTTCCCCAGGGCCCCAGGGCTGCTTCAATTCTGGAGCTTCAGCTCCAAACCTGATGTGGATCCGTTCCTCCTCGCCAAGCAGTGAACCCTGCTTAGGTCATCCGACTAATCCTGGCTTCATGCTGCTCATGAGAAGTTTTCATGTTCTTGTGTACATTTAACTAGCTCCAGGATCTCCGCAGGCCAAGCAACTCCCTTGTGAAAGCTCTCTACTGTGGCAAAACAGAAAAATGAGGGTTGTTTTCCAACCTTTTGGAAACCTGGGGGCTTTTAAAAGACACCAAACATGATGAATGTGAGGCACAAGGTATCAGGAATAGCCTTGGAGGATGACAGACAAGCAAGATAAAGCCAGAGATGACCCAGTTGTGCTAATACGGCAAGTAGAGGCAGGAGCCGAAATGGCACCATTATCTCTGCAGCACTTGGTGCAGCCCAGCCCAGGGGCCAGCTGGCAGGCTCCGGAGCGGCGTGGATGGGCACCAGCTCACACCCAGAACGCATCGTCAGCGGATTAGGACTCCAATGTAAAATTGGAAGTCCAAGAATGTGACAGTGAACATGCATCCTCGAGCTCTGTGCCTCCCTGTCACGTGTGATTGATGTGTGCAAGAAAAATAAAACATTAACAGATATAAAGATTGATTGCACAATTTTTGATTCAATGTGAAACGAGTCTAAGAACAAAGATGAACATGATGAAACAAGGTCTAACAAACATTGTTTCTGAAGAAAATACTGTTTTTACCTCATCCACTTCCCTTAAGGTATCTTTAATGTACTCACAACTCGGTACATCTGAAAAACAAGACAGTCTCAAGGTGGGCCTCCTGGAAAAGGAACACACAGCTAGCGTGATCCTGTTACAAAATCACAAATCCCCGTGGCCAAGAATGCAATTCTCCAAGGTTTTGTCCTCATACTGTAGTTGTGTGATTTGTCCATTACGTCCTACTCCAGTTGCCATGTGGAAGGAAGTGTGGAAAAGCGAGAATGCACTGAAATGTTTGAATTCATAGCTTTAAACTTCTTTCCATTTTATTTGAAGGAGATGAAAGGTATTTATTTAATCATGTCTTTTGGAAACTGAAAAGCGAACTACATTCTCCTCTTATCTAGAAATGAAGTGATTTTCCCTGTGTCAGGGCTTTTTCACTACACAGAACAGACCCCTACTAGCAGAGTCAGGGCTCTGTGGAATACTATTACCCTGCAAGTGAAACAGCTTCTACAGAATAAATGCACCATGCAGTAGACCAACCACATGCAGATGTTTTCTGCTGTGTTCTCAGTTCCTTCCCTAATTATTTTTGAAGCAGGGCTATTATGCCTGAACACTTGCCAACTTTTTCCAACTATATCAGCTGTCTAATAGAAAATATTATTGTACTCCGTGGACCTTGCCTCTCTAATACACTTAGATCATCATGGCTAAAAAAAAAAAAAAAAAAAAAAAAAACCATTAATGCCAATTATTCCTAACATTGCCTTTGCCTTTCTGGGCAATATGGAGCAGTGAGTAGATGCATTCAGAGAGCAAGTCAAGTAATGCTGGATTTCATCGTGAATGCTAAGTAATAGCTAACCCTCTCCTGTGGGTTTTCCTCGTATGCATTATATTTTACTTGGAGAGGCTGTCGTTCACTTGCCAGTCACTTGGGAGACTTGTAAGGCTTTCTTTTGCATTAGTCCATGGTCAGCTTTACATTTTACAGTGCTAAATAATTTAGCATCATCTTAATCAGATGATTTAGACGTCTATTGGTCTCTCTTGGAATGCTGCTCTATGAATATGCTGAAAACCGAAATAAATGCAGAGCCCCCTCTGTACTGTGGCTGAACATTTACTCCTTATTTCCTACCTTCTAACCAGTGAGTAACGCAGAAAAGGACCGTCCCTGGGAAGCTTCGTGTGTTTGTTTCGGGATTATTTAAGGGCATTCCGCAGCAGATCTCATGGGAAGCGCCTTGAAAACCCCTGAGAACCAAGTGCGGCGTGTGAGCAGGACTGTGCCCGGGGCAAGTTCAGGGAGCCCGGGCAGGGGGGCAACAACCGCCGCCGTCAGCGCCGCTCGTGCCCGCGCGGCGGGGCGGAGCGGGGCGGGCGCAGGGGCCGGCCGGGC